TGGACAATGTGAAATAGTAAGAAAGGGGCTAAAGGTATAGGGAAAGTGGGAAGGGTAGGGGAAAGCTAATAAGGGAAAAGAAAAAAATATGAGAAAATGAAGAAATGGAAATGAAGTGTTTGTAAAGGGGGAGGAAGGAGGTGTGAAGGGAGGGCAGGGACAAGGGGAAAAAATGAGAACCATGACCTGTCGTGTAAAGGTACAAGAACCGAGTGATGAATGTAACTGTGCTGTATCCCTAAAATGTACCAATAAACTCAGTGAGGAAAAAAAAATATGAAAAGCTTTCCCTGTCACACCCTCCCGGATGATGTTTGTGCATGAGAGCAAGCCAACCATGAACTGAAACCTCTGCAACATGAGCCAAATTAGTCCTTCCCTCGTATAAGTTGGTTTTTTTCAGGTATTTAGCAACGGCAATGCAAATCTGACTAACACAAGAGGAATTTCTATTCCGATAGAAGACACAGAAATCTGCTAAATAAATGCACTGGGGGGCTGTAGAATAAAACTGCCTCAGCTACTTCAATAAAATTGCTTGTTTACTCCAAAAGTCATCCGAAAATCCCCTGGATGAGTTTTTACTTAAAGACTAACAGTTATATCTATGTATCAGCCGCAGGACATGGGCCTCATTCCTGTGCTGTTATTCCTAGGAGGGACACACCTAGGAGAGGCCAGTGAAACCGAGACAAAAGAGAAAGATATAGAACTCCCCAGGAGGTGCTTTTTGTTTATTTTTTTTTCCCCAAAGCTGCCCCAAGTGGCACACAGTAACCAAGCTGCACCCACCACCCACAACCTCTGGGAGACATTTGCTTTGGCTGCAGCAAACTCCAGTTGTGGATCCATCCCAAATGACTCCACATTGCAGGCTCTCTGGTTGACTTCATCTGTCTGCACCCATCCAAGTCAGGCCATGAGGAGCTCCTCCCCTATCCTGACTAAACAGAACATCTGATACTGCATGTCCATGACCCTCTGTTTCTTCCTACGTAAGCAACCTGCCCTATACCATCAGTGAGTCAGCCCATTCCTGGCTCCCCCTTATGCTACAGCAAAAATCCTAAGGAAATGTCTTTCTGATGGTATATTTTTGCCTATATGTAACTTCTATCTTTAGTACAACAGGCTGAGCTGGTACACTAATTGCTGGGAACACCAGATTCCCCTAGCACTGAAAGTGACCAAGAGCCCAAGCTGATAACACTGAAGCCAGATAACACTACAAGCCAGAGACTGAGGTAGAGCAATGGAGAATTTCTGGGAGCTGCCATCTCTAATTGCCAAAAGGAGTTCCCAAGACCAGCCAGGGATACTGGCTCCAGCTACCAGGAGAGTAATGAGGAAGTGGAGGACTAACATCAAGTGCTAATAACCACCAGCATTCAAAGGCCAAAGCTGCTAACACTAAAAGAGCTTATCTTTGCCTAGTCTTGATTTCAGTCACAATTGAGCAAAAGGATCCTCAATGATGATAAAGGGGACTTGACTCTCTTTCATACCCAAAGGGTCCACATTTGCAGCATCACTCCGGGCCTGACAGATTTCACTGTAAAACATATACGCTTAGTAAGTGTCACTGCACAACTGTATCTCAGCCATGTCCTCTAGTAGATGGAATCCTGGGGCAGTAGCAGGTAATGCTGAAGCAAGTCACTTGCCTGTAAGTCAGAAGACATGTACTGAAGTTGCTTTGCCTCTCATTTTCTCAAGGATCTTAACATATTTCACAGCTTCCAAGGGTCTCATTTCTAAAGTGAGAATGGAAGACGAGAAAGAGATTTTCATAGAGGTTAAAAATCCCCACAACAGGGCTGAAATTCTAGCTCAAGTTTAAATTTTTGGACCCATTACTTCTTAGAGTGTTTTTCTTCATCCATAAGATGCACATAATCAGGCTCTTTTCAACAGGCTAATGAAACAAAGGAATGAGATCAGCCTTGTAACGTGTTTAGCATACTGCCTGGCACATAGTACAAATGCAAAAATGATTATGAAAATTAGATTATAATGAAACTTCTTTGCAGCCCAGAGGGTCTATATACATAAGTAGCCAAAACTGCCTTTCTATGTTGTGTCTCTTTTTCTGTCCCAAGTCTGTTTCATATTAAAATGCTGCAACTTGGTAGTGAGGGAAGAACTTATTCAATAATTCAGAGCACCAAACAACAAACCAACTGATACCAATGCTTCAGCACTGATTGTAAGTCATGAAGGTTGTCTTCATCTTTTCAGTGGAAGAAATGAGGAGACATTTATTCAAGGTCAAATATATCGAAGAACCATCCAAGAGAGACCACAAAAACAGTCTCCTCTCCAAGTCTTCTGGCTGTCCTTATTAATGATGTGTGAAAGTTATTAGCATGCTTATTACTGCTCTCTCCTTTTGGCTTTTTTCAATTATCACTACATACATAACCCCCTGCTCAAAGCTCAGAACTAAATGCTGCTCAACACTCAGACCTTCTCACTGCCAGAGGCAGACACTTCTCTAAAAATCAGAGTATTGTTTATAAGCTTGAGACCATTACTACAAAATGCACTATACAAATTAGACATTTTATATCCCTGCAGTTGAATAATAGAAGCAGCACTCAAAACCCTAATGAGACATCTGCATCATTGAATTACTAGTATTTACATGGGCCTCAGTGAACCCTAAGAGGAGAGTCTGCTTATTTCCTACTAACCCCAGAATAAAGACAAGGTTCTTATTTGCCCCTACAAATAAAGTTTATTTCTTTAAAAAAACTAGACTCTACAGTTGGGTTCTTCTAGAGTTCCTAGTTGTAATGAAAGAATGGCAGAAAAATTCATAAGAAAGAAATTTGTTTAATAAAAAATTAGTTATTCCAAAGGAATTGCCCCAAAATAATTGCACTTACTATGTCTTTGCACTGATTTCTGGCTCCCGACAGATCTGCCTCTTCACTGTATGTGTCACATCTACATAAGGTTAATTTCATCACAGGCAGTATTTTCTGAATCACTTTATGTGTTGTCTGTAGAGAGAGACAGCTGGTGCTCTTGACCATTCCATACTGATTAATCAATTAGGACTTGGTGGAGTCCAGAGTACTGAGAAAAGCAGTGGACGCTTAACCACTGTGCTGATGGCATTTTAAATACATTTGTCTATTTTCTCAAATTTCAATTGAAGAAAACCTTGAGTTTATACTTGAGAATTAAAGCACAATAGTACTACTACAGGCCTTTCAGGACAGATCAGAAAAAATTTAGCAAGCCCGAACTCCTGACACTGGTCAACCTTCCTGAAGGACAGCCTGAAACAAGGGATCTTCTTATGGAAGCTTTCAAGGTTCTCACCATGTAACCTCGGCCGGCCTCAAGCTTGTAGTGATCCTCCTGCCTTATCCTCCTGGGTACCACTATGAATGTCTTAAATGGACTCAAGGTTTTCTGTGGCACCCACAAGTCTGAGCCTACCAATTCTTTGGCCAAAAATGACCCTATTTGAATAGTTGTTTTTTAGGATTAGGGTAGATAGTTTAAATCTTTGATAAAGATCACATAAGCTAAATGAAGTTCAAATTCGTCTGGATAAAAATAGGCATTAGGAACAGACTTTATTTAGGTTGAATAAATAAATATTGAATAATGAGGTTTTTATACTCACATTTGCAACTTTTATTATAAAATGTGCTAATGCATTAATCAGTGGCCATGTTGGCCACATCTTGACATGCGTCCTGATATTTTTATTCCCACTCTCTCTAAGTAAAGCCCATGTATGAAATCCTAGTTTTTCAAAAACAAACACAATTACTAGGTGCCTTACAGAGTGTCTCTCAGCCAGAACAGTCAGTTAAATGTAGCCATTGAGAGATGAGCTTCCACAGCAGGGGATTATAGACAAGTCATTTTACCCTGTCAGCTTCCCCTGTGAGATGCTATGCTGTGAGAATAAATGAGGAAACAACTTCTAAGCCAGTGTTCTCTGCTCATTCCCTATTATTGTTATCAGAACATAAATTTTCACAGTACACCCATGTAGCAAGCACCCTGATAATGTGTTAGATAATGTGAGAAGATAGGGGTTTTATTTTTCAATTAAATCTTTGTTGCTCTTAGCAGCTGCTTGCATTTCAGCTTGTTTTTCTTTCTTGAATCGATGACCTTGAGTTGTTCCTTCCCACACCATCATCCAAAAACATGAAATGGACAGAGCTGGGTTGGTTTTCCTAGTTAGCTCATTCATAATGAGTGAATATTGCTTGTGAAGATCACTGGGATGAGTGAGGGACCAGCCTTAGCACTGTACCCTTTTTCAATAATTAGTACAGGAAAAATTTGTACAAAAATACAAGTAACTGGAAATGGAACAGATTTTGTTAGAGTGGTGTCCTTCAATTCCCTGAAGTTTTTCGGAGTTACATTTTAAACATAACACAGTAATTTTGCAATAAAAATGATTTTGAATAATCCTGAGTATATTTTCGAACTATGTTTAGAGTAAAAAAAAAAAAAAAGAAATGACTGGGTTTTACTATTACCTGTGAACATCACACCGCACACCTCAAAAAAATATAGTTTTATGTATCAACAACCAAATTTTTAAACATCAAATAAAGAATTTATGTGACTTGTAAGAGACTGTATTCACCAATCATAAGATGTATTCATTTTCTCAATATTAGTATTTTACAAGGTCCATTTGTTTGTCACATAGGTGTTTTTCTATAATATAAGGAGTGAATAAGAGAAACAAAAGAGGGGAATTTTTTAATGGATTTTTGAGCAAAGATGGTGCTCACCTCTGTGTAAACTTTCCAATGATTGGTTTAGATTGAAATATATCTTAACAAAATTAAAATACATATTAAATATGACCTTGTTTTACCAAGAGTGTACATAATCATACAATCTGTGATAAAAAAAATGGTGAATGTTTAAATTTTTTAAAGTTTATTGCAGTAAAAGACACATTGCCATTAATTCCCCCTCAAAGTACTTTCCCTTACTGCAAACCCACTTACCACATACTTCTGGCCACTTCTGTAGCAGTTCCAAGTCCCTTTCAGGAATATCTTTGTCATGGCTGCCTGAATGTCCTGAAACAATTCAAAACATTTACCTTTTGTGGCCATTTGGACTTTGGGGAAGAGACAGAAGTCGCTCAGTGCCAGATCCAGTGAATAAAGTAGATGAAGACTCACCATAACGTTTTCATCAGTCTGCCTTCCCTTTGGATGACACTCAGCAGCAGCATTCGCCATATTTTTATCACAATTCATAAAGACAGTCATGAAAATGAAAGGCTTTCAAAAGTGCTTCAGAAAGTGACAAGAATGACAGGATAAGTGTGTTTGAAACAAAGTAGAGTATTTTGAGGGAGATTAACATCTTTTTACTAACAAAAAATTTTAATTTACACACACACCAAAGTTTGATCAGGCCATATATATAATATTCACATGCACAGTAATCTGAGACAGCCTGCTACTTAATTATAGCAATGCATGTGTAGTGTCTGGCAGTCCCGACCAGTCAGTTCCTAAACTAACAGTCTCTGTACTGAATTCAAGTGATTCAGTCCATAGTAGAGCAAGTTGACCACCAAACCCTTTTGGTCACCTCGGTTAGAGGTGAATCAATCACCAAAGCTTTACCTAGGGGTTCAAAAGAAAAGAGCAATGAAATGTATCTTTTTAAAACACAAGTTATAATAGTGGTAAGGGATAAAGTCTCTGTCTTCGTCCCAAAAATCATCTAAGCCATCAAACAACTGACACAGAAACAGGAACTCTTCCAGAGATACCTAAGGTAAAGCTAATAAATAATGCCCCCTCTTCCTCCCAAAGAGGTCTACTATAGGACCTCACTTGGCAAAGCGACTCTGCGTGCGTGATTTAGTTAGAATCTTGAGATGGGGAGGTTTTCCTGGATTATCTGAGTGATCCCGGTGTCATCACAAGGGTCCTTGTGACTTCTTAGAGCAGAGGGCAGAAGTGGCAAGTCAGAGAAGAAGATGGGACGACAGAGCACAGATTGAAGTAATACGGGGCCCTGAGCCAAGAACTGCAGGCAGCCTCTGGAATCTGAAAACACTGAGGAGAGAGCTTCTCCCCTGGAGGCCCACCCGGGCAGCCCCGGAGGAAACAAGGTAGGGGGATGACGGAAATCAGATTATTAAAAATCGCAGAGCCTCCCCAAAGGGCGGGAAATTTATCAAGCGTGTTTCCCTTTTCCATTAAAATAGTAATGTTTGCCCAGAAATCTGTGAACATAGAAGAACTCTAAGTATGTCTTAAGTGGGCACATACTTGTGTTTTCCTAAATTCATGATGTAGAGAGCAGGACTAAGAGCCAGAGACCACTGGGGATAGAAAAGTATTAGTTTTTGAAACAATGGATCCAATCCAAATGTCATGGGCCAGCTTGAATTCTAGTGAGCCTAATGGTTTTTGAAAAGTATCTGTTAGAACTATTCTCTCTGCCAGGCTCCAGAATAAAACCACAAGTAGGAATTGATCTGTTGTATTTTATAAAATCCAAATGCTGTTTTTCTGTTCGAAATACTTATTTAAAAGAATCTGAAATATGACATAAAAGAAGAAATCAAGACAGTATATGGTAACCTCACACTGTCAGGTCACAACCTCACAATCTCTCCATCTTTCCCTCCCCAGGGGTCCAACAGTGCTTTCTTCCCACCCACTAGGGAGCTGTGACTCCCAGGAAGGGCTATTTATACTTCATATATTCCTGGGCCACATTTAAAAATGTCCAAGGGTGTCCAGAGCTTTGGAACTAAGTGTGTCCTCATTTGGTTTCACTGAACTGAGAAAGAATAAGTGAGAAAAAGCAAAGGGGATTCAAATGCTTGCTATCTTGTCAGTGCTTGCTTTCAGGAAAGTCTAAGTATTTAACAATATTCTCTCCCCCACCCCCCACTTTCTCCCTAAACTAACACAGGTATGTCGCCCTCACCAGGTGGGAAAGCCCTTTCTCCTCTAAAAGTGACTTTCAAGCTCAGTGGCTTTCTAAGCCTCCAAATTTCTTTCACACTGGCTTCACATGAACTTGAGATTTCCATCCCTAAGATCTAGGATTGACCAAAGAGGCTCCCGTAGGAACAAATGACAAGGCCAAGATAGTAGCCTTGGAAAGTTTGTGAGCTAATCTCGGAGGGAATTTAAACCACACAAGCCTCTGTTAAATCCAATGGCAGTGTCTAAAAAACGTGTGTAGGGCTGTTGATTTAGCTCAGTGGATCCACCGCCTGTTGAAGGACCTGAGTTCAATCCCTGGTACAGAAGGGGAAGGGGAAGAGGAAGGGGAAGGAAAATCATGTGTGTGTTTGCTGATGGCAGATGGATTGGAGGAACAGTCTCAGGCACAGCCGGCCCTGTTGCTTGCAGCCATCCCTACGGCAACTCTGGAAGAGAAGTTTCACCTACAGAAAGCCTCCCTAGTGAGACTTCCATCGAGGGGTTAGAGAGTGCGATGGTTAATTGTGATGTCAACTTTAATAAGAGACACCTAGCAGATTGGTTTAGGACAGTTCTGGGTGTGTCTGTATGATTGACTTACTGAAGAGGGAAGCCCCACCCTGGGTATAGCACCAACTGATAGGCTCATAACTGGGATGGGAAAAAAGGAAAAGAAGAAGGCAGTTTCATCTCTGCTGCTTCAGAGGAACTCCAGTCTTCACCATCACGTTTGGACATCAATCTCCAGACTTCAGTACAGAAGTTGGAAAGTCTGTGCCTTTCCAACATAGACCCCTGGCTCCCTGATATGGATTCACAAAGGCTCTGCAGTGAGCTCCAGGCCTTTGAGTTTTGACTGGCTCCCTGTTCCTAGTGAACAGTTAGTGAACCCTAACTGACCGCAAAGTGATCAGTAACACCTTTCCCTTTCCAGACTTTGTAATTAATAAGTAATGGGGGTTATCATATCTTTCCAGGAAAACCCACATTCATCTCTCACATGCACTGAGTACTTTTATCTTTGCTCTCTCTCTCTCTCTTTTTTTTTTTTTCTTTTGTATCAGAGATCAAACTCAGGACCTTGTGCTTTCGAGGCAGGTGGCAGAATCACTGAGCTAAATCCCCGGCCCTCTCCCTCTTTTTCTATTTAGAGTCCAAGCTCACTCTGTAGAGCCAGTTTCTCTTCCATTGTTCACTTTTCTTCTTGAATAAATTTTGCCCCTGCTTACAAAAAATTAAAAATAAGTAATTGGGAAATAAAACTACAAGGAAAATGCAAGTGAGGAGCAAACTACCATCTTTCTGACCAACACAGGCCAGACCAGAGACTATGCTTAGATTTGAGCAATAAAAGGCTTCCTAAAACTGAACATAATTAGCCAGAACTACCCAATGGCATTAGTCATATATTGCTGTAATGTTGAAAAAAAACCCAAATTTAGCATCTTAAAACAAAACACATTTTTAAGTGATGGGGTCTCACTCATCTGATGTTACATGGCTTGGATGAAGAATGTGCCCTGAAGTCCTCCAAAGTCTCCAGGTACTCACAGGCAAGGCTTTGGAAGGGGATTCCATCATGGCTGTGCTTGGCTGAGTGTGCTATGGAGAGGCAAAGGCCGGTCGGAAGAGATAAGTCACAAGGATTGTGACCCGGAAGAGTATATCTCCCTCCAAGCCCTTCCCTTTTCTTTCTGCTTCCGGGCCACTGTGACATGAAGAGATTTTCTCCACCGAAGCTCTTCCACCACATCATTTCTACGCCTAAGCTTGCTGGACACAGGCCAAAACTTCTGAGACTGTGAGCAAAATAAACCTCTCCTCCTTTAAATTGCAGGTGTCAGGTGTTTTATCCCAGCAACAAGGAAAGTGAGTAGGACCCCTGAGCTTAAGCACTATACCTCAGCCTTCCAAGTAGCTGGGACTATGGGCAAGCACCACTTCACCCTGCTACACACATTTATCTTCTCACAGTTCCATGACTCTGGGCTTCGGTGCAGAAGAACTGAGCCCCTCGGTTCAGGATCTTTCAGGAGGCTGTAGCCAAGGTGAGCTGGCCCCTGCAGAGCACCTGCTTTCAGGTCCACTCTTGTGCCTGCTTCTCCCACCAGCTATTAGACTGAGGCCTTCAGTTCCTTGGTGCTCATGGGCTTGAGACATCAGTCCCTGCTCTGTGGCCTTCCATGTGGCTGTTCACTGCCACTTTCTACCTGCTGCAGCAAGGGCTCCAACAGAAAGAGAAGAAGAAAACCATAAGACAGAAGTTTCAGCCTTTTGTAACCTAATCTCAAAAGTGGTATCCCACCATTTTTCTCCACGTTCTGCTTCTTAGAGTGGACCCTCCAGGTCTGGCCCACACAAGAAAGCAAAGGCTGCGGGAAATGTTTGCAGGTGGCACTCCGTGACAGACAGGAGGCTGCGCTGGGGCAAGGCCAGATGCCCTTCTTAGTCCTCTATGAGGAGAAGAAAAAGTCCCTGCTCCCTACAAGACAGTTGCGCAAAGGAGAAGTAGTAGAGAATGGCTACCTTGAATATGCTGTTTCATATCCACCAATAAGATAAATAAATCCCAAATGAGTGTCAGGGTAGTGGAGAAAGACTACCAGCCTTAGGTCACTAAAGCAGGGAAGGAAATGGGAGAAGAGCAGGGCCTTCCACATTGAAAGGAAAGTCAGGCATAAGGAAAGAGAGCTCCCTAGCAGAATACCCTATTTATAATATGGTGCCCGGTTTGCATAGAAAGAAATGGAAGCTTAGAGAGTTTGAACAACCCAAGGTCACACAGATCCTGTGTGATGCAGCCAGATCTATAAAAACTAATTCCTTGTATTACATACTGACCCCATATTCAGGACCTGCCTGGAAACAATTGTGTGAAGACATTTATACTTGCACGTGAAAATATCTCATTTCAAGAATAATGCTCCACTATGCCTTCTGTGTCCTTACACGTCCCCTAAGTTTGAAGTTTTACGACAGTGAGGAAACCATGGTTTCACCAGAAAATCAAATATATACCTGGCTTAAAAGTGAGCAGGCAGATGCCACCTGTCTGGGAAAACTGAACGACCAGAACTGTGCAAGCAGTGCTTTACCAGCAGGACTTCAGTAGTTTGTGG